GAACATGCAGGGGTGATTTCGTGTGTATTGAGAATGGAATGTATATAAAATATTGTGTAATAATTATACATGTGAAGAAGATTATACTAAATTTAGAAGCAACGTACGGGAAAGAAAAGGATAGAAACGGATCTAAAATAACTAATATTTACTATATAAGTTTAGCTTAATTTGTTTAACAGTACAATAAAACTGTCCAAAATGTAAACTTTATTCGCTAACCCAAAGCAATCCTACACAAGGCACAAATTGTTGAAATATGAAAGTTAAATTATTTTAAGAACCACGACTAAAATTTAAATTCTTGTCAGCTTGGACAGGCTTGCGTAATGCATAAGTGGTTCATAATTGGAAGTTTATTTCAACATACCGTCGAGAGTGATTCTGCACTTTCCACTCTGCCCGAAGTTGCCTTCAATACGACCAGGTATAGTAATAACCGCCGAAGAGTCGACTTTACTCAACTCCTGCGGATCGGAGTCTGTGCTGCCAACTGAGCTTGGGGTGATAAAAACCTTGACGCGAAGGTTTAAAAAAACTTCCCAGTTCGTTTCTTTCTTGAAAAGTCCACGAACAATGCATGCACGAGGGTTCATAACTCGATCCAATTGTCCGACTCGTGATTTTGGCCGAAATATCTGAGTAGAAAGAGATAACAGAATATGAATGGAGATTAGGGGCGAATGAGCAAATATGCACAAAATTGGAAACACGAGAAGAAACGGAAATAGAAATAAGAATATATGAAGAGAGATTAGCCAGCAATTTAAAAACTGACGCTTCAAGAACGCGCATGCTGTTTGCAAGTGAGTTATTAATATAAATACAAAAACACCTAGACGCGATCGAAACTGCAGTCCACACTGGATGAAAACACCTTTTAGGGGAGCTAGGCTATGTAAAATTCAATGGAAACGTTATGTCTATTAATATGATCATGGGAAAATTTAACAACCAGTCCCCTTATCATCTTAAACGAAAGATGATGAATACATATCATAAAGAGGAGAGATCTGTCTAATGAGCCTCACCGAGATTATATTCATTGTTGGCCAACCATCAAAATGGTATACAATGAATATGTCAGACAAAGAAGACGAGGTTCAAAGATGAAAGAATGATATAAGAACTTCGTTTCAGCAAGTAGATGTAACAGGAATTGAAAGATGACAGATTTTCATGAGTCAAATTGTCTCTACTACGGAAAAAATGAAATTCGTTTTCCATCAAAATCAACAAGAATAACATTGTATGGAGCGAAGTTATCTCCGAAATAGCCTCATTTGAGCCCGGTTATATCAAATGGTTTAAAATTATAAAAATATGCTGCTTTAATAAAGAGAAAATAGATATTGATGTGAATGTATAAAGTTTGTCGAGACCAGAAATTCTATTAATGAATTTGCAACTGGCATACTGGCAAGTATTCTTCTCTATAAAAAAATCTGCTCATTGAAGAGTAAACCGCCCACGTGAAATTGATATATTCCTGATATATTTTGGGAATATCAGAATTTCTTTGTTCAAAGAAACCTAATAAACAGGATATTAGGGTCAGCGAAAAGTCCTCCTGCTGTTAAGCACTCTCAGAGAAATTCGCGGTTCAGCAAGAACAACGAAAAGGAGACAGTTGAAATGAGTATATCACTCAAGAAATAGGAAAAGGTATATTGTGACAACTTTAAATTTTAAATGAAAAGTTGGTTAGAAGAAATTCGTGAAATAGTCTCACCGAAAACCGAAGAGCCACAGATTGAGAAATGGTGAATTGTGCGAATAAGTCCCCGGGTCACCGTCCTGCGACCTCGATGAACCTTGCTAAGTTTTCTGTATTTTGTGACAGACATCATCAAAGCAAGAAACCATACTTCACAGAATATAGCAAAAATACACCAAACCAAGAGAAAAGGTGACCCGCTGTATACCTAGTAGCTTTTTTATACACCTAACCTAGCGATATTAATGAGGTATCTCATGATTTGATTGCCTACTTCAAACTTAATATATATGCCTGCGGATGAGTGAAGTTACTTCAGCGACCGGGAGTGCATTCAATGACAGCTGTTTCCTTACAGATATTAATTAGAGTACGATCCTCTAGTATCGACTCGTGTTTAGGTATGTGCTATTGTCTATTGTGTGTATGTAATGTTTATGTTGTAAGTGTGATAAACTCAAGGCTAATCCAGGCTCATCTTGCTCAGTGGATCTTCCTCTCGCTGACTTCATTTAAGCCTATCTAGCAGCCATAATTATTTTCTACTCAATTTCCCAAGCTCGCCCCCCCCTATTCAGAACGTTGGCTATTTTGATAATCTTTATAGACTCTAATCTTACGCTTTGATGTAAAGTTTCCGTAGCCTACAAAACGTTGTTTTTAGATCAGTTTTTGGAGAGTACTGTATCAAGTATTTGTTCAACAAGATCACATTTTTGGACCTACAGACCTTTATGATGAGTTTTGTTTTGGATGGGTCGACAGGTTTCCCTCACCTTGTAGCAGTCAAATCAAGAAAGAATGCCCGAAAATTATCAAAAAGAAGGCACGATTGAAGATAGTGTTAATTTGTCTTTATACATTGTTCTGATGTTCTATTTCATCGATAGGTCACCCAACTTTTTCGCAAGCTGACAGCAAGGCAAAATCAGCAACCGAATAGAATGGTACAATTGTC